AAAATTCTTACCTCTCCATCATCAGGGTCAATCTCTACCAACAACAAGAGACCAAGAGATAGAATATAATTCTCCTCTCCGATTATCGGCGTTCATCTCTAGCGAACAACAAGAGACGCAGCATACTCAAGATAGGTATACGCAGTCTAAACTCATTTCCCCTAGATACTGCAAACAGGAAGTTCTGGAGAATATTACTGCAAATGATCTTAAGAATAACGCGTGATTACCGTCGCCGAAGCGTGGGTAATGAGGTTACACTATTTCCCGAACGACGTCCACATAAGAGGCATAATGAGTATAAACTATTTCTCTTGATTCTTGACGCAGTTACAAAATTCAAGAATTCGGACAACGGTCAGCCAGCGCGGATAAACGCAGGGCACCGGAGGAATTTTACTATTCTACAGAGCGCTGAATAGGCTAAAAGATGATAGAGTCAAGATTGAAGCCATTCACTAAAACCGGTTCTACCAATTTCTCAACCAAGTACTAAAGAAATTGCAAGGAAAACTTATCATATGCGAAGGTCCAGACTCCTCTTCAAAATGATGAGTCTGTGATACTTGAGGGGGTATCTTGTAGACGTCAAAATGCTTACAGACATCACAAATATGCACTCAAGACAAGAGAAGGTGATAACCATCAGTATCTAAGTCATGGGATCATATCAAAGCGCCAAAGGAAGCAAAAGGATCTGTGAATCAACATAAAACAATGTGAATTCACAGAAGCAATGCAAATACAGGCGTGTGGGCGCGCAGCTTCCATGGTGCCGCGGCTTACAGCGGACAGCTCCATCAGTGCCGCGCTAAGACGCGGCAAGTTCAAGCGCGCGGCTTGGGCGCGGCAAATCGCATGGTGGCCGCGGCTACTATAGGGATGCTTACAGGCGGTTACGAGGTGTTATGTGATGATTATGTGAAGGTCTACGTGGGCGGCGTATCAGAAATAGAACGTTGCTGAACGTGTACAAGCAGTTAACCACGAAAAAGGTGGTTAAAAGTCGTGGAGGACAGTTTCACAAGCACGATGGAACGTGCTGGTAACTGCCCTGTGGCCGCTGCAGTTCATGCTGCCGCGCCAAATAGCCGCTGGCAGTCCATGCTGCCGCCGCAATGCCGCTGCAGTCCGGAAGTCGCGGTCAAAGGGATAGTCGTTGATGCTATTTCTTCAGTTATTGTCCAAGGAGGCTATAAATACCCCCTATGGACATCATTGACAGGGGGCTAAGCATTTTCCAGAGAGATTAGAGCAGAGAGCCTTGAGTTTTGGTGAATTAGAGCAAGAGAGAGAGAGTCTTCCTTCTCACAAACATCCTCAAGAAGCTTCTAGCGAGGTCCTAGAGATCTAAGCTCAGAACTATCTTTGGAAGATGAACATCTTACATCGAATAAGATATTTCGCTTCAAATTCTTACTTCGATAAACGAAGAAGAATCATAAACGCCCTCACGGTTCAATCAGAATCTGTGATTCGGTGGTCCACGGATCAAAGCGCTCCCGGCACAGGCAAAGATCCCACGCAAGCACAGCGATCCAAACAACGTCCTGCGTTTGTTTCTCAAGAGTTGTAATTTCCCTTTTGTGTGTGTAAAAGAAGTCTTATAAAAAGACTATTTCTTTGAATCTGAATTTATTGTAATCGACCGAAGATATAATGAATTCCACAACGAAACCAACTTTTGACGCAAACAATCGACTCGAAATGTGTTACTTCTCGACAAAGTTAGAAGATAACTTCAACCACGATCAAGCCTCTCCTACTAACAACGTGTCAGTATCGCATTTAGTGCTTGGCAGGCGCCATCATGCATCTAGCCCCAATAGTCTTCATGACTCATCGGATCACGTCAGCACCGTCATGCCTCCGATCACTTCCCATTTAATGCTGAGGTGATCTCTCCTCCAATCGTCACCCGACACCTGTAAAGCAAGTGCTGACTCAGCCGTCAGCCCATGTTTTTTCACCGTCATCCTGTGCTTGGCCACAATGACGGTTCTGCGCTTCCGGCACCTCTATAAATAAGAGGTACTGTTCTAATATAAAGGGATCTTTTTTTGGGACTTCACTTTTAGACTTTGACTTCTGAAAAAGGTTTACAAATCTGATCTTCTGATATAGATATGCAAATTACTGCACACACAAGAACTCACAGTTCTTCACTTTCTTCACTCAAGTTCACCAGCTGACTTGATCGTTGGAGGAACCACGGGAAAACCAGTCTCCGTCCTCTCACGGGTTGCTATATGTGTAGACTTTTCAGCAACTCAGCTCAGGACTGGATATTCAGGAAAGGAAACGGCCTCTCAATAACTTTACCCCAATCCAACCATGGATATAATTGACTGTGTAGTCACTTAACATCAATAATAATAAATATATTTTTTATAAGTGATTTGATTGAATTTTTGGTCAACCAAGCAGCCCCTTATAAACGGTTTCTCCCAACTCTTGTTCCGCCAGAAAAGAAAAGGATAAAAAAAAACAATAGTAATACAAGTCATGTACCGATGTTATTTTTTACCATTGACCTAAAGATTTGAAGGTCATTTCCATTGTGAATTGTCGGTCGGGTACTGAGCCAAAGAAAAAAAAACACTATTGCTCAAAGAAGAGGCCGGTAATCCCAGTTGCCACATATGTACAATATTAAACCCACAGATGGCAGCATCGCTGAGAACAAATAGTCAAGCCAGGCATGGGGCATATGACTACCTTACCTTTTCCCAAATATACTCCCCAAATCCGTAACTCTTTATTAAGAATTTCCCACCTCAATTTTGGGGTTTTCATCGGTTAGCGCTCACCGCCCATTACCCTCCATCCAAAGCCCAGCAGAGCGCGTGGCCTTGCAAGTAATTTTTCACCCCCATACGTTATTAGTTTTTGGTTGTTTCTAATAATTAAATAGAAATAAAAATATCGAAACGGGAACAAATAGAGACCACGCACTTCTCACGGATCGAGACAGCACGAGCTCAGCAACCGTCACACTGGCTTCGGTTTTATTTTCGCTGCATTTTCTATACAAAAACTTTGCTTTGAGAAAGGAGAGGGAGTTGAGAGAAGAGAGGCTTTTAGTATAATTTATTCGCCCATTCCGCTTTGTTTCCCTTGAAGAAACCGCCAGTTCAGTAGCTTGGTTAACAAGAACCCGATAATTAAAAATAAAATGGAATTGCATCAGAACGTCATCATGAAGTTTATAAAATTATGATCCAAGAACTTCTCTCACAGAGAATCCAAGGACAACGTGCATACTTAACAATCTCAAAGCGAAAAAGGTAAAATGCTCAACATTAATCTCTGCTTCCACAGAACACTCTTGCAAAGACAATGAGAAGCCACTAGCCAATCAGATTACATGCAATTAAATATGCAAAGACAATATCCTCGAACAAAATTAACAGAGAATATGACAAGCTTAGTAGCAGATATACACACAGATTTTAAACATACATTTAAAGAAATTAGCGTCACAACTTTTTTTTTTATTTATAGATCTCACATAAGATAAGGTCTCAATATTAAACTCGGTAGTTAATATTATAACTAGTAGTAATAGCTGAGTTAATTTCTCTTCTTACATGCCCTTTTCCAAAAGAGGGGAGAAAACCGAAAGATACGGTGGATACGGAGGAATTATCTCTCTCCCAACTCACCATACACGGAAAACAAAAACCCAAACAACAAGAAAACAAAAATTAACCCAACAAAAAAGAGGGGTAACTTGTAAATTTCAAAACTTCGCCGGCGGAGACGGGGACTTTTCGGTCAAGACAGAAGATAATCCAGTGACGACCTTAGCTCCTGGCGTCACCGACTTCGGCCTCACAGCCGGTGGAGTCCACGGCGAGACCACCACCGTTATCTTCTCCGACTCCGGGACCACGCCTCGCATCTCGAACTCGCCGTTAAAGTTAACGGCCGAGATCGCAGTAGGGGCGCCAATGGCACCGCTGGATTTAACATCCTCCGCTGTTCTCTCGTAAGAAGCCAGCCATTTGGATTTCATGTAGTCGAGCTTCCTCCACGGCGGGAAATGGAGCCCCTTCTTCTTAAGACTCAGCCTCGCCGCTTCAGAAACCAAGGTCACGATCCTTTGGAGGCGATCGGACTTGCCCACGAAGATCAACGGCAGAGATTGAAGCACAGCTCGATAGTTCTTGGTCGATCGCGCGATCTCGAACTCCGATCTAAAATCGACATCGAGAATGAGGCGATCGCCTTCGATCAGCACGTCTATGTAATCGTATTCGCCTAATTTACCAAATTAGAACTGATTAGCGATGATCAGCAGCGAAAAGGGGAAAACTTTTCCTTTTTTTTCTAAATTAAAACGTACCAGCTGGGATTGAAGGGGTTTTCTCCCATTTAGACTTGCAGATCGAAGCATCGTAACCTAAAGATTTGAGATTTTCAGTTACGATCATGATGCAGTTATCTTTCCCCTTTCCGATTTTGCTCTTGTTACTCTCCACGATCTTTGACGCGTCAGCTAACAGATTGCGCTCCGCAAGGCTCTCGCACGGCATCAAGCCCTTAAATATCGGTAACAAACCATCAAATTTCTGTAATAAACAACTAAAAATAGAAACTTCATCGAAAATATCCACAAAAATATCGATCTACCTTAAGCACTTCCAGCGCGTCTGCAGGTCCAACAGAGGCAATCGCCGACGCATCACCGGCGAACTCATCGTCGGAGCTGTCTTCTATGTTTCCATTGAAGCAGCCGCAGCACTTCGTAGGCTTCTCATTGCCGTCTTCGATGAAATTCACGACGAGCTTATCGAGACAAAGGGAGCTCGGTTCCAGCTCACCTCCATCGTCCTTCTCCCTCTCCTTCAAATCTCCGGCGCCGGAGAGCTTCGGAAACTGCCGCTCGAAGAGCCTCTTCAGCCTCGATTTCGCCGCAGGCTTCGATAGATCGTTCTTGATCGTCAATCTTGCATCTATCGGTGTGATCTTCATCTGAAGCGGCATTTAGATCTTAAAACCCTAACTATGGCATCATCGGATCCTATGGCATCATCGGAGCTTTCTCGGTAGAGAATCTCCTCTCAAAACCCTAATTCTTGAAATTTCTCTCAAAAAAAAAGATGACGCTCAATTAAAAGACGAGGCCATTAGGATTAGCTATCTTTTATAGTTACAAACTAGAGAGTCCGGTGACTGCCGGTGATTTTAAGGTTAAGATTACCCGCCGGAGCAATTGGTTTGATGAGACCAGAGGGGGCCAGGGGGGGGTTTTAAAAGGAGAAAGCGAGAGCGAGTGGGGAAGATGGAGAAGTTTTTGGCGTGCGCTTCGGTCACGTGCATAGCGCGTGATCGTCCGACGTGGCACGTGTATGCGGCTAGTGCCGTAGAGCGGTTTTTAATGCTGCTGCTTGATCTCCACACGTGTCCGTTGAAGCCCACAACATGTCAAGGCGATGACGTCACCGGAGTACCAAAATTGCCCTTGGTTTTCGGAATATTCGCCTTATTTTACGTTGATGCCAGAAAGACATAAACGTCATTGTGCTTTATTTCCCAAATTACCCATTTCAAACTGGATATGTACATCGACGGTCCAAATAATACGAGTGTTAACATCGTAATTAACGTGAAAGCCAAAGGCTATTGTTTATAAGAGGCGGGGCCCCACCTTCGGTAATATTTGGATGAGGTTAGGATATATAGAGCGGTTTTCGGGGGACGGGTCCACGACTGGAAACCGTCGGCTAGCCGACACGTGTCCTGTGACCCGAAACGTTACAAACTCGGCCCTGCGCAAAATCAATATTCGTTTCGTGCGCTGTACGAGAATGGGAGTACGCCTCTCTGTATAATTTGGAAAGATAACAAAATAGCTTAAGATTTGGATCGAGTCGTTTATATAAATCAAAACAAGGTTAGGATAATATTGGTTAAAGCTTACACTCAAGCGTTTGCTTTGCCACAAAATGAGGGCTCTGAGATTTGGAGGATGCGCTGATGTTTCCCTAGTTCACAAGTAAGGCGTCGTTATCATGGCATCTTAGAGATTAGGTTATTGATTACTTTTGTACACTTCCATGGGTTTGTATCGATGTATCGTATATTGTACACTTGCGTGGGTTGGTGTGACAA